AAGCTGGGCTGAAATGCAAAACCCACCCAAACCTGCCTCTGCTTTACCACAGCAGCCACAGGGCGGGGCAGGAGTGAGAGGAACAAGGCCAACTAGAAAAAAACCACAGTGAATGGGGGGTGGGGGGTGGGGTAAGAAAAACTGTGGGAAGGAATGAAACCTAAACCAGCAAAACCAACCGACATTAACCACCAAAGAGCAAAGAGGTGGGTACTGCAACCAACGGTGACAGAGAAGCTCCACAACTTCCCCTCTGAGATGAAAGTGAGGTGGTGAAGTGAGCTCAGATGAATTTAATAGTATAATTCAGCAAATTTACCTCATTAAACAGCCTTCTCAAACTATTTAATTGACACATTCAATAACAATCTTAGTGGAAAAATCATGACCCACCCCTCTCACATCAGACATTTGAAACTAAGGTATTAAGCTCTTGATCGCAGTGCGAGTCACCTAATATTTAACAGGCAAGAGTAAGGGGAGTGCTGAGAGTCGAGATGAAGGGTCGAAACTGGTGTTTAAAAAAAATATCTCCTAGTAACATAACATCATGGAGGAAGCCTGTGGCAAGGAGCGACAATTCAAACCTTACTGCCCATCTCAGCTCGAAGACCTTGTATCATATTATACCAGTACAGCAGGAAACCTGGCCTACTTGTGGTTGTTAGAGTTTCCAAAAGTCAAATGGGAGCCTTCAGCTGTCAGGTGATCTCATATGGAACCAGCTCCTAGTATTCAAATTCTCCTTTTGGATAAAACCAACTTGCTCAGGGAACCTTCTCTGAGGTAGTTCTGCTGGAGGTCTATGTTAAAAGGGAGTTTTTCCTCCTCACTGTCTTTAAGTGCTTGCTCATACCTCATTCTTGTTGTACCTTGCAACATAAAGCTGCCTGAAACTGGTGCTATATTAATACAGTTCAGTTGTACTGAGCCTGGTGAACCCCTGCTTTAAATCATGGGGCAACATGAACATCTGTATCAATTCATTTAACTTCTGTCAAGGTATTTTACTCTAAAGTACAGCTTCATTGTGGTACACAAAAACAAAAAACAGAAGACACTCCCCAGTTTGGGCGCATCAGCTCTTTGTGAAATAAAGCACAGTGTCAGAAAGTTAAGTTGTCGAGCTGCCTGCTTTACTTTGGAGCTTCATCCAGTTACCAGCCTGGGCCTGTGTATTCACCACAGCAGCCACAGGGAGGGGACGGAGGAGGCTTTCAATCAGAGAGAAGCATTCTGGGAAACCAAGTCGACCAGGCCCTCCTGTAAGCCAGCTGGATAAATATCACATACTCTGCCTTCTGCTGTTGTAAAAGCGGCACAAAGCCGACGCCTGACTCAAAGCTGGTGTACTTCTTCTGAAGTGCACAGGCGGGGATGTTTTCACAGCTCAAGTTCATGTTTTTACAGTTCAAGCAAAATAAAAAAGTACAGCGGCTGTAGTTAATGGCCTCTTCTCTAAACGCCAGGGAGGAAGGAAGCCAGAGGAGGAGTTGAGAAGAGAGGAAGGAAGTGCGGGGAGGAGAAAAGACTGGGGGGGTGGGGGGTGGGGGGGTGTCCTGTCTGAACCCAGTATCCACCCGAGTTCAGAGGCTCCAGAACAGAGCGTACAGCACAGGCTCGCTCACAGGCCAGAGAACAGTGTGTGCTGGCAGTCTGCATTAACAGCACCAGCCTGATGTTATTACTACAGTAATCCACTTGTCAAAACAATATCAGCCCGGCGTCTGCAAAAACCCTTATTCCTTCAGCAGGATGAATCACTTGCATTACAAGCCAGCCGTCCTGTCGTTTTTTTTTCCTGCTGCGGTGACGAGAGAGGCCGTCGAGTTTATTCAAATCATGTCAAAGTGACCATGCTGCACAGCACCGAGCTTAACACATCTGTTCGGGCACTGGCTGTTTTTACACAGCACAGCTTTGTCGACAAAAGGGAAACATTAAAAAACAACAAAAAAACAAACATACTGTACATACAAGTATACTTTGAGGGCGCTAAAAAAAGTATTTCAAAGCCAATTTTAAAGCAAGAATTCTCACTACCAGAAGGCAAGTAGAGTTTTTTTTAAAAACATGCTTATGGCAGCAAATATAGCAAAACTAATCTATATTCTACTGAAAAGGCCTCTCTGTCAAATGCTATAAATGTTACCTACATAAAGCTTAAAACAGTCTTCTTCAGGCTTTTGTTTTTTTTAACTGAAGCCAATTTCATGAGTCAGGAAGTGACTCAGAAGAAGATACAAATCAAGTAGGGCTTACAATAACAATTACGTCAATGAGAGGTCAAAGCTTTATCGTTTACGTTGAAGAACATAAATGATTTTTTTTCTTTAAAAAAACAACAACTTTATTTTAACGGTAAACAGTAATGGGATGATGGGACATGAGGAAGGAGAGAAGGAATGATGTAGTTGGACTTGACATGAACCCAAACATAGAGGATTTCAGTACTTGGCAGATTCTGTGCTACAGGCAAAAAGCCAAACACTAAAAGAGAGGGTAAACAGCTTGGAGAGAGAGAGAGTGCACACACACACTAACCCAGTGACAGCGCTGTAACCTGTGTGTGTATGCATAGTGGATGGGGGAGGCAGCAGGAGGTCAGACAGTTCAGCTGACCTGTTGGTGAAAGAAGCTGTCAGATGCACAGCAGACGACTGCGCCACTATCAGTGGCCAACACTGCTTTAAGACACACTGTTTGAGAACAGCGATGAATTATGTAAACCCTAACAGGATCAATTCGCTTTATTCCCCCAAAGAAATGGCTGCCCCTGTCACAAATCCCTTTGTTTGTTTGTTTTAAACCACAGTAAAAACATTGCTGCTGCTGTGAACGGACTCCACTGAGAGCCTGTTTCTGCGTCTGTCTCTGTACAGTACACGGGATTAGACCGTTTCAATCCACACGTCTATGTCTATATAATGTGGCCCAACAACAGCGTGTATATACTGCTGATTCACTCCTGCTGGCAGCAAAAGTTAACACTGAGGCGAAAAAATCACTTGCACGACTAATGAGGGTTTGCGGGCTTACCCTGTTGAGCCTTGAAATGAAAATCAGGCTAATGGCAATCTACAGAGACTGCACGCGCTCAGATGAGGCCTCTAACATTGTTATTGCTCAATAAAAATAACATTTGAGCTCAGATGACCTTAGAT